ATTATATATAAACTTGTTTTGTGATGCTTTCGAGTTGGTACAAAAAGTTATTTTCATTGTTATAAAATATTTCAAATTATTTTTGTAAGAATTGTAAATTATTTATGATTTTAAATTTCTTAATTTTTTGTCCAAACTAATGACATAAAATTTTATTAAAGGGTTTTTTTACCCTATTATTAACTTTTTAATTTCAATTAAAGAACCATATTGACCAAGTTTATAAAAACTAAGAAATAAAATTGATGTATACCAACAATTAAGAGTCGACGAGACAAAGGTAAATTTAGAATGAGATTATATTCTTTTTTAACAAAATGAGTTCCTTTTTAATATTATACTTCGAAGTGGGTTGCAAAAGTTAGGGAAAAAAACCAAAGAGAGGGAGACAAGTGAGATTTTTGAAAATCCTAAAGCTCCAAGCAATATTGTGAAGGAAAATTCGCCTATTTTGTTCCTAAACATTTTCACTAAAACCGATTTAGTCCTTTATTTTTTTTTCCTCCCAATTTAGTCCTCAAACAATTTTTTTTCATTCCAATGTTGGCCGCCCACGACGGTGCCGCTAGATCTTGCGTGTTAGTGGTGCTGAAGAAGGGGTAGAATAGTTAGCTCACATTAGATTTTGTAATTTTAGGGATTTGAACGAATTCCCTAGTGTTTTTCTCTCAAAATCTCACAAAATTGCTAGAGGAAGGAACTGGGAACTAAGGATCCTTGTTGCTAACCCTCAACGTCAAGTGAAATACACTAAAGAAGGAACTTCGTCAATGGCACTAGAAGTTCATGCAGCATTGAACACTCGAGTAATCATTGTTGATCAAGGAACCAATCGTTAGGGATGCCAGGAGGAAGGATGGAATTCTACAATGGGGATAAGGCTATATTTTGTCACTGCCGTGAAGCATGTTGAATTGTGATAACGTGGACAGTAGCCAAACCAGGTATCTGATAACAAGCATCTCCAAGTTCACCATGTATTTGCCTCCACACATGTGAGAGATTTCGAGTTTATCATCCTTGCACCAGCTTGCAATATTGGCAGCAGTATCAAATTTTACTTTCTCCAGCTTTTTCTGGATTTTTGGGCAAATATTGTAAGTCATCTTCTTCATCCATTACCTTTTTGTTCTGAGCCTTTCCATTAAGTGGATTCTAATGGTCTCAAGCAGTCCTCAGATCGGCTTCTCTCTTGCATCCATTATCATTGAGTTGAAAAGAATATCACACTTTGGAGTGGTCTAGAAGTGTGATCTTGAGCAGTGATAAGGTGAGTATGTTATCATTCCATGCATTTCCATCATACTCCCTCAAGGACTCCATTTGGTTCTCAAACATCCGCGCGTAGGAGGACCTCGCACAAGGTCCAGAATCTTTCCTTTAAGGCTTCACTAGGATGCAACTTCTTGAAATTGTTATGCAAGTGCCTAACACAATGGCTTGGCTGTGCTCTATATCAGGAATTACTTCATGAATTGCAATTCCAAGTCCCTAAAATTAGAGGAAAACAAAAGAAAAGGAAAACAGAAACCCAAAATCCGGAGTTAGCCTCTTAAATTAATCAAGCAACATAAAACAAATTCAATAACATATTATTCTTTTCTCTAAATTCTTCAACTATTATTCTTTTGTTAAGCCTTAGAAAGTCAGCATACTTCCTTGCTAAGAAGCCTGAGATAGCTCTCTTGTGGAAAAATGTCCCACCGCATACGTGTTCTGGTTCCATTGTCCTGATAGCAAACGAGGCATCACCAGCTTCTACTTTAGAAGCAGAAAGCATCCACTTGCAGTGTTCAGTCTTGCATTTCACCCTCATTCTCCCCTTATCATGTTTCATCCACTTAATGTCCTTACCCTACTTGATTGCATGATTCTCAAAGCCATCTTGAATACATACTTGTTATCAAGTCCCTGCGCTACATAAAATTTTGGAACATCTATATCAATTTCTAGTCTAAACATCACAACTCTTGGTTTCTTCCTTACACTATCTACCTCAGAGGAATTATGGCAACTCCTTTGCTCATCTCACGCTATAGAATTAGATCCTTCTTCATGGACTGGGATATGATCTCCCTCATCAAGGTGTAAGTCTGTTTGTTGAAGTTGCCTTTGCAATGGTAATCACTATCATGGAAGCTCCTTCATTTTCTCCATATAAACTGGTATAGCCTCAAGGTTAGCCAGGTCTACATCCTCAAAACTGATGTTTACAAAGAAGTCATCTTTATCTACTATATTTACACCATTCTGACCACTAGTTCCATCTAAACCCCTATTCCTATTACTACCTACGGATCCGATGCGAAACTCATCAGCAATGTAAACTTCAACTTCTCCAGTCTACTTGCCAATGCAAAGCCGTATCAACTACATCATCATCACTGTCTATACCCTTCAAAAGAAATGAACCATCTTGCTGGGGAATTCTATGCATCATTTTTGCATTCCTACCCTATCCAAGTAGATAGCAATAATCACCTACAATTGCTTTGTTTATTTGTCATGGTAGTGACCCTCTTATAACTTTCCATATTGCCCTCCACATACTTAGGAGTCACCACCATGATAGATTTTTAGAGTAAAGAAATCATCCTCTTGTCCTTTTTTTTTTCTCTAAAAAAATTAAATAATTAATAGCACCATTGACTTTCCTTATCACTTTGTCTCATTTTTTTTAGAACATGAAAGCAACAACATATGAAAGTTGGCAACCAAAGGGATCCATCGCTGTAAACAACTCTTAGTTATATTTATATATAAAAAAAAATTAACCTTTCACCATCCCTAAATTTATCCACGGAGGAGATATATTTCAAACAACCTAACCCCACATTGTTCCTTTAATCAATCAACCCACTTGCTTAATAGTCACATCCAAGTTCTAAAACAAAAGTTCAATTTCAACTAAGTAGGGTCTAATGAAAGCTTAAACCACGTCGTTGCTACGTTCATTTGCCATTCTTGTCACCTTTTGCTTTCTCCACCCTCAAAGATCCACCTCTGGTCGTCAAATTTTATCTCTTATTTAATCAAACCCAGTCGCCAGTTCTAAACCCTAGCAGTAGCCTTTCGCAATTTATGAGATTTTGAGAGAAAAGTATCAGGGGATTCATTCTAATCTCTAAAATTAGAGAACCAGATGTGAGCTTCCTATATACCCCTTTCTAGGGGTGGAGCTGAACCGAGTAGCTCGACTTGAACTTACGAGCTACTCGATCAGAAGCTCGAGCTCGAGATTACTTGATCGAGCTCGATCTTGAGCTCGAACTGCTCGTTAGAGCTAGCGAGTCAAGCTCCATCTTAGACATTTGATACGCGAGAGCTCGACGACCTCTATCGAGTATTGCATAAAAAATAAAAAAAAAATTATATATAAAATTACTCATATAGGTAAACAACTTATGAAATTTACAATGAACCATTCTACCACTTTTATTTATTTGTGTGGACAAAATAGGAATTTCATAAATCATAATTCTTATTTCTTGTTTTTAGAGAACTTAGTTTGAAAACATTAAAAAGGAAAAAGTTCTTTAAGTTCTTTTAGTAGAGAGAGACCTCCCCACAGGCACTGGCTCATAATTCTGAGGGCTGCCTCTCAATTTAGGTAATAAATTTTTGTCTGGTGCAATGAACCGGGATAATTAAATTAAAAAGAATGGTCCACAAGTTGCATTCTTCTTTTGGGTGCTAGGACATCCTAATTTACGTAATCAAAAGGAATCCCAAGTGGGCCAAGTCCACTTTAGCTGATAGAGGTTTTCCACCATACCTATTATGAATCAGCCAGTTCCCATCGAGCCTTTCTTCCTCTTTTCAACTCCCAAGTCACGTCTCCTCCTCGTTGGCTTCTTGTAGATTCGGTGCAAAATTTCACCGGCAAAGACCGTCGCTGGCTCGTAGCTTAGTAGCGAATCTGGTGAGGGGTAAATTTCAAAGACCGTTGCTGGCTCATTACCCACTTACCCCATCTGTCTCCCTTGAAGTTGGAGGTTTTCAGCACCACCTTAGCTTGGGCTGCTGGGAAGCTGTCAAGGGTGAAAAGGTATGAATATAAAATAAGTTCAACTTCTTCTATTGCTGTTGATTTGATGGTAAAGTTTTGATGGTCTTTTGCTTACATGGCTATTTTGGCTATTGAGAAATTGTCATATTAACTAGTTTGATACTGTTGATTTTAGAGTGCTTGAATCACATGGTTGGCATTTGCATTGAAATGAAGCAAAATGCATGTTTTAATATGAATTGCTATTTTATTGAAGGAAAGCATAGTTTTTTGCACTCAATTTTTGCTGAATTCTGGTCTAGAAAACAAAGGTTTTCGAGCTCATTTTACGAGCTTAGCTCGAGTACTCGAGCTCGAATCTTATACGAGTTCGAGCTCGAATTGTTTTTAACTATTTCGAGTCGAGCTCGAGTCTGAAGTTTGAGGTTTGCTCGATCTCGAGTAGTACTTATAACCTTCGACCTACCATACTCGAGCTTGACTCGACTCAACAGCATCCTTACTTTCCTTGGCATCACTAACAGGCAAAATCTGATAGTGTCGTCGTGTGAGCCCAGCATTGGAACATTAAAAAAAAAAATTTTGACTGAGGACTAAATTGGTGAAAAAAAACAATAAAGGACTAAATCGGTTTCAGTGAAAAAGTTTAGGGACAACTTAGGCAAAATTACCCTATTGTGGAGGTTTCTGAAATTATCCCTTCCAACCTGGAGTGTCCTCCCACCATAGCCGTCTCCTCCCTCGCGAGTCTGCCTTTCATTCTTCTTTCCTCGCTCTCCTCTCCTCTCCAAATTTCACCACCACCACCGGTGCATATGATATGAAAGCCTCCTCGTCTTCTTCGCCTTTTTATTCTTCCTTTTCCTTCTCTTGAATCTCTGCCACCTATTTGCTGTTTAGTGAAGAGCCTTCAAAGAGAGAATTTTGAGTTAAAGATTGATTTGTTATTTCTGCCTTACTGTGCAATTTCCCATAAGTTGGAACGGTAACTTTGTTTATCTAATTACTTGTTTATACACTAAAAGTCTCTGAAAATCATGGTGAAAACCTCCGTTCATCGATATTACTGGTTGACTCGGTAGACTCGGCAGCTCTTTTGAGTCCCGGACTTGACTCAGGCCGAATCTTCCGAGTCTGAACGAGTTTGCACCGGGTCTACCGTCCCCGGGAAATGGGGGACGGTCGCGGAGCTGAAGCAGAAGTTCCGTGATGACTCAGCTGAGACTTTGAACCTTGCGTCTTACCGAGGATATCTGCATAGTCCTTGTGCATTCATTGTGTGTTTCGTATCAGTGGCATTTTCGGTTTCAGCTTTCCTATTGAAATTGCTCATTCACCTCAACATTGTGCTTTGAACATGGCCGCAACCTCCTCGTCTCTGGCATGAGATTTTGAGTCTTGCCTCAATAGTTGGGGAAGTTTATTGTTTGTCGAAAACGAATTTGTTTCCCTTTATAATATATTTACTAAGTTTCCGCACTTGTTTAATGATAAAATCAGAATTTTACTCGTCTTGTTGCATTATCTTAAATGGAAATGGGTTGAAAATTTTCTAGATTCGTCAAGAAGAATAATGGACATTGTTGGATTTGAATTTGCATTAGGCATTGACTGGTAAATTTTAGAATTTAGCTGGATAATCTTGAGTGGAAGAAGGGACCAATATACTAGACCTTAAAATGGCTTGTGCAATCATTTTAATTCGTGCTGTTCCTTGAAAACCAACAATTTTTTTAATATGTAAATCAAGCAGATGAAGAAGGTTCAATCACAGAGTGGTTGCTTAAGATTGTTATGTAGCATTGACGGGTGGCCTTACATATTTGAGTGGTCTTGAGGTCTGTAGTTTGATAATGCGTGGGGGTAACCTCTTTTTTGCTTTTCTTCCCCCCATCTTTAAAGGTGGTATAGCTAGTTCATTTAGGTCTCTAGGAGGTGCTATCATTGCAATGCTCTATTTATCTTAGTTCTCAAGCATATAATTCAAACTAATGCTGTGTTATTGTAAAGTAGACTTGCCATGCTTGTGATGTTACTCTTGAATTTTGATCTTCCTTGATCATTCTAGTTCACCTAGCTACAATTTGATAACAGAGCTGTTCAAATCACATTGCTTTTCTCTTCTCATGCTTGCATGTGCTGACCAAACTCTGATCTTCTCATGCTCGCATGTACTGACCAAATAGCATTACAGAATCTAAATGGGAAGAGATTGACTCCATATTTGTTCTCCCTTGTTACAAGCTTCTATATCCAGCTTTCCTCACAATTTTCTTTCTCCCAGTGCTCTGATTGAGGAGGTGTCTCAAACCAGCATTCTTTCATGGATAGGAAACGGAAATTGCAAGCAGAAGAATTAGGCACACCTCCACCAAAGCTTAAATGGCCAAGTCAAGGCTTTGCTCTAGAGTATATTTTTCCCGCTAATGCTGAGTCAGATGTAATAGATAAAGGGGAGTTAAGTGGAATATCAACAGCTGAGGAGTCAGAACAAGAGTCTGCCAAAGATAGCAACAGTGTTGCTGCTGATGCTGACTCGAGCATTTCTGTGTCTAACGAAGCTGAAGTAGGAGCTGGTCATGGATATTTCAAAGAATATTCATCTGACAAGCCTGTCAATTCTTCTGTTGACTGGGGAGGCGATTGTTCCAAGCATGCCTTAAATTCTTCTGAGAGCAGTTTCATAACGGAATCAAGTTCCCATATTCTGGAATCACCATCTATTGGCAACAAGCATGATTTTCCCCATCATGATATCGGCCTGAAGTCATCCCTGAATTATGAGGAGCACCTCCTGGAATTTGGAAGTCATGGCGATTGCAGTTGTCCAGAATGCGGAGCTGGCTTTGAAGAATACACAGACAAGGAACTTGAAGAAATGCTTTATTCTAATGGGGTGAATCCCAATAATTATGTTCTTTCTTCTGGAAGATGGACTCTCAACCAAGGTAACCATGTTAAGCTGAAAGACCGTTCTTCTCATGTTCTGTTTTGTCAACATTATTTGAATGCAAGGTTTTTTTTTTTATCATGTAACTTGAAGTTCTTCACTGTCTTAATTCATTCCTTTCTGCCTAAATCATTTCCTTATTACAGAACATGCACTTAATGTGAAATTTTTTGCATTATCTGAATGCAGATACTCAGCAAAGCACCAAGAAGTTAACCATTGATAAAGAGTTCGAGCAGTACTTTTCCATGCTTATGCTGTGACCCAGTTCTTTTGAACACGAGCATTTTATGTACATTATTTAATAATTGATGTTGTATGCATTTACTAACTAGACGAATGAAGCTTCTCATTTTAATCCTTTCTTTTGTCAATTTTTTTGTCATTTCAGCTTTTTCTTAGATTGATTGATCATGTTAACCTTTGTTTCGTGTATTTGTAGTTTTGTTATGCCAAAATAAGGCAAGAAATGAAAATCTTGTCATACAAAGTTTTCAGGCTTTCAGCTAAGATACGCCACTCCAAGTCTTCAGAAAAGTTTCCTGACTGCTGGGCTTTTAGGTATGCTTAACATTTTGGGCTTTTTTCTTTTTGTTTCTCTGTTCTCCTTAAATCTTGTGAATAAATTTCAAATTCTTGTCATTCATCATGCTCTTTGAACCTGTCTTGTACTTGATTGTTTATGTTGTGGTGCTTCATTTGATGCTTTATTGATTTTCTCAGATCCATATGGCCTTTTTTCTAGTTGAATTGAAACTAATGCAGATGAGACAAAATTGGGGTCGACAACTTTTGATTCAATTGCAAGTTTTTAGTTACTTACTGGTGCATTGGCTGTGAATTGCAGATATTGCTTAAAAACATTGAGTTTGTTTGGACAACAAGAGTTTAGAATAAAAATTTCAGATTTTGTTTTGCTTGCATCATACACACAATTCCCAATCACCTTTTTATCTCACATATATCACATCAAAAAAAGTGCTACAGTAACTGGATCAAATAAATCATCCAAATAAATTCTTATCCAAACAAACTCATTGTGTTTTTTTCCAACTATGAATTTAGCTTTCTCAGAGACTGAATATTCTTCTGAACCAGGTACTTCCTATACCTTCTGTTTTTTGTTTGTTTGTTTGTTTACATCCTTTGTCATGATAAGCCAATCACACATATTATCCAATATAGTATGAGAGTGAAGACCACCCCACCCCCAGGCCACCTTATGTTGGTTGTCCACCTATGTGGCCGGAGCTGATTGGGGAATTGTGAGGTGGAGTGGGTGGTTATCCCCTTCTTTGTTTTCTTCCCTTCTTCTTCATCTCCCTCTTCCCTCTCTCCTCCCTCAAGTAATCATGGTTAATAATTCTGTTGGGAGAATATTAGTATTCTTATAGATAATAAATTAGTAAGGGTATTCTTGTAAATAGTCGGTTAGGTTTGTACTCCTATAAATACTAGTTGGTCACTCATAATATGTGACTAGATGTTTTCCTCCCAAGATACCTGTTAACATGGTATCAGAGCAAAAGTCCTAGGGTTAGGGTTAAATATCTAGCAAAAGTCTTGACGCGATACTGTTCATCGCGCACTGTTCACGCGCACTGTTCATCATCGCGCGTGCTGTTCATCGCGCACTGTTCACGCGGTACTATTCACGACGCACTGTTCACGGCGCACTGTTCACCGTGAATTTTGATTGCTGTTTTGTTTGAAGTGCTATTCGCTATGGTTGAAAGTTTTGCTAATGGGGTTACCACTGATCAAGTTGAATCAAGTTCTTCAGCACATGGGTCCCAGAAAACTGTTACTATATCCGAGGAAGATTATGTTAAATTCTTACAGTACCAAGCTACAAATCACGCATCTCTTCCCTCTGCTTCTTTAGCACAAAAAGGTAATGACTCATGGATTATTGACTCCGGGGCTACTGATCATATGTCAGGTACCTCTAAAATTTTTTCTAATTTTCAAGAGTCTACTCCCTTTCCTCATGTTACTTTAGCTGATGGATCTACCACTAAAGTTAAAGGACTAGGCACTATAGAAATTAATCCATCACTTCCGCTGTCTTCTGTTCTTTACGTACCCAATTTGCCATTTAATCTAATGTCTGTTAGTAAGCTCACTAAATTTCTACAGTGTACAGTTACTTTTTCTCCTGATTCTGTTGTCATTCAGGATTTGAAGACAAAGAGGACGATTGGTGGAGGGCATGAGCATAATGGTCTTTATTTTCTCAACTTCAATGGTCCGATAGCATGTCCTGCTACTGTTTCTTCTCTTGAAATTCACTGTCGTTTAGGTCATCCGTCTTTACAAAATTTGAAAAAGTTGGTTCCTACTTTGAATCAATTATCTTCGTTAGAATGTGAGTCTTGTCAGTTAGGAAAGCATCATCGTGTTTCTTTTGCTCCTAGAGTCAATAAACGGGTTTCTGAACCCTTTTTGTTAGTTCATTCTGATGTTTGGGGTCCTAGTCGAGTCACTTCAAAGTTAGGTTTTAAATATTTTGTAGTCTTTGTTGATGATTTTTCCAGAGTTACATGGCTTTATTTAATGAAAGATCGTTCAGAATTATATTCCATTTTTTGTGCATTTGTTGCAGAAATAAAGAATCAATTTGGTGTGCCTGTACGTATACTTCGCAGTGATAATGCGAAAGAATATTTTTCCACTCCTTTTAATACCTTTATGACTAAGTCTGGTATTATTCATCAGTCCTCTTGTCCTCACACTCCACAACAGAATGGAGTTGCTGAAAGAAAAATTGGGCATTTAATCGAAATTGCTCGAACACTGTTATTGCACATGAATGTGCCCAAACAATTTTGGAGTGATGCAGTTCTAACTGCATGTTATTTAATTAATCGCATGCCATCTAATATTCTTGGAGGTCAATTACCTCACTCCATTCTTTTTCCTCATGAACCTGTGTTTAAATTGCCTCATCGTATTTTTGGATGTGTGTGCTTTGTTCATCAGCTTGCTCCGGGGATGAATAAATTAGATTCTCGTGCTATTAAGTGTATTTTCTTAGGATATGCACGAGCGCAAAAAGGGTATAGATGTTACAGTCCAGTTTTAAATCGATTTTTTACTTGTGCTGATGTTACTTTCTTTGAATCCACTCCGTATTTTATCAAGCAAAGTATGTCTTGTGAATTAGACCAGTGTCCCTCTTTTTCCTCTCCTGTTTTACCAATCCCTTCCCCTTTATTACCTGAGTTGTCTAGTCCACCAGATTCCATAGCTCGATTATCTCGTCCTCATCTTCAAGTTTACTCTCGTCGTTCCATGGTTGAGAAAGTTCCTGATATGCCACGCACTTCACCAATTAACTCTCAATCTTCAAATCCAGGTATGACGCCCTCCTCTGAGTTAGATCTTCCTATTGCTTTACGCAAAGGTAAGAGACATTGTACTTCCCATCCTATTTCTAATTTTGTTTCTTATTCTCGTCTCTCTATGTCATATTCTTCTTTTGTTGCTTCTCTTGATTCTATCTCCATTCCTAAGTCTATTACCTATGCTCTTAATCATCCTGGTTGGAGATTAGCTATGCAAGAAGAGATGTCTGCTTTGGAACAAAATGGTACTTGGGATCTTGTCCCTCGTCCTTCAGGTAAGCCTGTTGTTGGTTGTAAATGGGTGTACACTATAAAAGTGCAGCCTAATGGTTCTATTGATAGATTGAAGGCTCGGCTGGTAGCTAGAGGATTTACTCAGGTGTATGGAGTAGATTACTTAGAAACTTTTTCTCCTGTTGCAAAGATTACCTCTGTTCGTCTTCTTATCTCTTTGGCAGCCACTTATAATTGGCCATTGCATCAGTTGGATGTGAAAAATGCATTTCTGCATGGAGATTTGAAAGAAGAGGTATATATGGAACAACCTCCTGGATTTGTTGTTCAGGGGGAGAATCCGCGGTTGGTTTGTCGTTTGAAAAAATCCTTATATGGATTGAAACAGTCTCCGAGGGCTTGGTTTGGCCGGTTTAGTAGTGTTGTCATGGAGTTCGGTCTGACAAGATGTGGAGTAGATCACTCTGTATTTTATCGGCATTCTAATGCTGGTAAAATTTTATTAGTTGTTTATGTGGATGACATTGTGATTACAGGTGATGATGTTGTGGGGATCCAGAAACTTAAATCCAATCTGCAGGCAAACTTTCAGACAAAGGATTTAGGTCATCTACAGTATTTTCTGGGTATTGAGGTAGCTCGGTCTAAATATGGGGTTTATTTATGTCAAAGAAAATATGTACTCGATATGTTGAGTGAAGTTGGGATGTTAGGTTGCCGACCTGTGGATACTCCTATGGATCCCAATGTGAAATTAGCAGGAGATCTAGGTGCATTACTTGATGATCCTAAGCAATATCGAAGACTTGTGGGTAAATTAAATTATCTCACTGTAACAAGACCTGACATTTCGTTTGCAGTGAGTGTTGTGAGTCAATTTCTTGATACCCCTCGTACTAGTCATTGGGATGCTGTTATACGGATTCTCAGGTATCTTAAGAGTGCTCCTGGAAAAGGGTTGCTGTATCAAAATCATGGACACACTGATATTGAAGGATATAGTGATGCAGATTGGGCTGGTTCTGCCTCAGATCGAAGATCGACTACAGGATATTGTGTGTTTGTTGGTGGTAATTTAGTGTCGTGGAAGAGTAAGAAGCAAACAGTTGTATCCAGATCAAGTGCAGAATCTGAATATCGCGCTATGGCTCACACTGTGTGTGAGTTGGTTTGGGTGAAGAGCATGTTACTGGAACTTGGGTTTGAGCATAAACAGCCTATGAATTTAGTGTGTGATAATCAGGCGGCTGTTCATATTGCGTCTAATCCAGTGTTTCATGAAAGGACAAAACATATTGAAGTTGATTGTCATTTCATTCGAGAGAAATTGCTTGACGGGGTCATCAAGACATCTCATGTACCGTCTGTAGATCAATTGGCTGATGTATTTACCAAGAGTTTAGGGGGCTCTAGGGTGAAATACATTTGTAACAAGTTGGGTGCTTATGATATATATGCTCCAACTTGAGGGGGAGTGTTGGGAGAATATTAGTATTCTTATAGATAATAAATTAGTAAGGGTATTCTTGTAAATAGTCGGTTAGGTTTGTACTCCTATAAATACTAGTTGGTCACTCATAATATGTGACTAGATGTTTTCCTCCCAAGATACCTGTTAACAAATTCCTTCTATTTCTGTGCCATTTTTTTGCTGATCTTTCCTTGGCTAAAAGCAACAAATCACTTTCTCCCCTTTCTTGTGTCCTTTGTATGTTATGCTCTTAGATTTTTTCTCTATTATACTCCCAGATTAGCAAGAAAACTTTGGTTTATTTTTTTCACTTTGATATACTCGTTCCTGAGTACTAGAAAACTAGTAATGCTTCTTTTTTCTTTCTCTTTTAAGGATATTTTTTTGTTAGATTAATTTGGACTTGGAGAGATGGCTTTTTTTTTTTTTTTTTGGTTTTCATTTTTTAGGTGGAAGAAGATGATGAAAATTGAGTGGAAGTGATTGTGATTTTAATGGAGGTTTTGACAGTATTTTACTGACTAAGTGATTATTTTTTAGTAGTTTTTTTTTAAATTTTATTTATTTTACAGTTTCCTTTTAGGTCTTTGTCCTCTTTTTTGGTATTCTAAAACTCGCTTCTTGTTTAAATGGCAGCTATGTGATAGAAGAAGAATGAACAGAAACTAATGGCAGGTTTTTCTTTTTAATCATTTCGTCTCTTTTCTTCTGTGCAAATGTTTGTTGAACTCCTCACAAAGGACATTCCGTATGGTTCCTTGGGGTTTTAAGAATTAGAGAAATAAAGCATTTTTCATGTTTGTTTGTGTAATCTCTGTTTCTTAGCCGTCAAAAGTTTCTTTCTTTTGTCTCTTTTGTCTTGTGCTTCAATTTTTTTTGAACATCTGGTCAAGTGGAAAAAATGGAACAAGGCTTTTTAATGTGTGCGTCTTCGTGGTTAAAAAGTAAATAATTATTTTGAGCAAGATACTGGATGAATGGTAAATTGTTAGATTGGTTGATGCCAAATCTGATGAATGGGGAGAGGTGTTGCTGGAATATCTCATGTCAGAGTGTTCCTTAGAAAAATTGACAGAAAGACCTCAGAGCCATCTCTTCCCAATCCTTTCCGTAAAAAAAAAAAATAAAATTTTCTCCCCCTTTCTGTGCAAAAACAAATTTCCCCTCTTTGCTGGTGGGTAAAATACTGGGAGTTGGAAAAACCAGAGGTCTTCCCTCAAATTCCTTTATCTGCAACAGCGGGGTAGGGCTCAATTCTGAGAAGACTGATCAATTCCCATCCAAAAAATTTTCCATAGCTCAGCCCCCGCCTACTCGAAGCTTCTGTCTCAAAATTCCCTTCTGTCTTTATATTTCTTTCTTTCTCTCTGAAAATCACTGGCTTCTCCATTCTTATTCTATGTATACATTTTTCTCTTGATTAAACTTTCTTTTATTCTCTAATAAGTTTCGTATGTTTGCTACAGGTTGAGAGATAGGGATTGATACCAAGTGTGAATGATTGGAAATTCAAAGTAAGAGGCTGTGGGTTGGCTGTAACTGTTTTAGTTAGTTGGTAATGACTTCATCATTTTTTGTCTTTTTGCAGACAGCTATTACACTTTCTGGACAACTTTTTATAGCTCAAGTGAGTGAAATTCCATCTTGGGGCCTTTTTCTTTTTGTAGATTTGGATCGATATTGTTTGATTAAAGCCTGGAATGTCATGTTTGCTTTGCTAAGCATGCTACGTGCATAACTTATTCAATGTTGGGCTTAAAGACTTGGTTGTTAATAGTTGTAGTAGTTTAATTTCAAACCACGTGTTCTGTGTAAAGTAATGTTGATTAACAAACTTGATGTTGATTAACAAACTAATGTTGACTATGAAAATGAGGGAATAGTGAACTTGATGAATCTGCTTTGAAGCCTGGTGTTCTTGGTAATGTTGAGATTAGGAAAACTTTATGACCACCAATGTTGGACCAATTTTGGGATTTAAAAAAAAAAGAAAAAAAAAGAAAAACTGGAGAGTAAATCATAGGAACATCTTTATTATTTGCCTTCCCTAAGTTTTGGATTTCATATCAAGGATTTTCAATAGTCACACGTATGGGTGTGGAATAGATGTCAAAAGTTTGATTAAACAAGTAGTTGCAAAAAATCAAATATTCATGTAATTCCTGTGAATATTAAATAGGAGCAACTCCTAAAACAAAATTGAAGACCAATTTTTAAGATGAGTATATTTGATTGACTTTCACTTTGCACTTGCTTACTATTTGCGTTCTTCTAGTTTCTCTCTTTATCAATGCCTATTGTTTGACTGGCTTTTATCTGTAACAGTGGCTTTTGTGTCTCTGAGTTTTCGCATTAAAGAACTCACCCCCAAAATCTCAAATATTGCTGACATTTCTATCGTGCGTCTTTTATGAACTTTTAGTTCTTTGGGTAGTTATTGGCAGTGCTGTTAGGTTGAGCTTAACACTGCAACGTAATCCAACTTGATGCTTTGTTCTGCTGAGTTTCTCTATGCCTCTGGTCCTACTGTAAAACCCGTGTAAATTGATTGTATAAGGTGATGATTTGGTTGTATGGTAGTTTCATAAGGCTGAGGGTGTAAAAATGGAAGAAGGTTAGTGAAGTTGAATGCGCTTTAGTACCTTTTTTGGGAGTCTTTGCTTACAATGTTCTCTATTTTTTTAGGATGTTTGAATACTTTTAAGGATTAATCTTGTATACACTATCAGTATATACACTATCACCGTTAGACACATGACACGTGTAAAATTTGAATTTTGAATTTAATAGCATATACACTATCACGGTTGGATAAATGACATATGTAAAATTTGAATTTAAAAAATTCAAATTTTACACATGTGTCATGTGTCTAACGGTGATAGTGTATACGTTGTTAAATTCAAAATTTGCTTATATATCATTCATTCAACCATGATAGTGTATATTAGATTTATTCTTTTTAAACCTAAAAAATTCAAATTTTACACATGTGTCATGTGTCTAACGGTGATAGTGTATACGCTATTAAATTCAAATTTTGCTTATATATCATTCATTCAATCATGATAGTGTATATTAGATTTATTCTTATTAAACCAGCAATTTCAAAAAATTTGTGAAATTTAGTTAACGTTGATACTTTACAAGTCCCGTCACGTATCACATTTATTGAGAATGAGACATGTCACATTTATTGAGAATGACCCTTACCGGGAAGGCAAGGAAATTTTGCCACTAACGTATGAACATGTTCCACCCTCAAATCATTAATTTATGTAGTTCAGCATTTGGTCAAATAGAGCTGATTACCTGATAGTGTATCAGCGAAATGGAACAAAATTAATTAGATTATAATGGCAGTAATATCGGCCCTGCAGCATTTATCTTGAATATGAGGAAGGTGAGGGGCAAAATATGTTAGCAAATCATCAACCTAAGCAAAGCACTATCAATTCCCATGAAAGTTAGAGACAACTTTCATTCAAGCATGTTATCAAGTGATGCCATTAAGTTGTGCATCCTTTAGGCCTGAGAAACCGGTTCATTGTATATAGCGGGATTAGGCTACAATTTTTATGCCATCATTCCAACAAGTCAAAGGCAGCATCAAACATTTCCTTCTTACGGTAACTATCAGTAAGAGCGTTATATATGTGTCAATTGTAATTACACGCACCAGTCCCTTTTCTGATATCCGTTGCTTCATCAAATTTACACATTCCACATGCTCGGAGGTCTTTTTTTTGTCTTAGTGAGCAAAGATACTCTAGCACTATATAATGTGCTTTGACAATAATACTACCAGTGGCGGAGCTACGTATTGTTGATGGCAAGGTTTCGAAACTTAGACCGTTTATTGACCCAGAAAAATAAATGAGTCACGAGTCAATCCAACCGTTGAGTTGGCCATTATTAACTCATGATGTCATAAATCTTATTAATAAATGTTAAAATCTAAAAAACAAACAAATATTTGTAGAAACTTGAGTCATATTGTTAAATATAATCACTTCAATTCTCATTCTATTCTTCTAAGTAGTATTATTTGTTTTAGACTCAAAAATAGCTTGTATTAGTTAAACGTTTATTATTTCAAATGTTTTTAAGTTTCCTAAATTATATGGGTACTAGTTTATATAATAAAAATTAAAGGACTTAAAAGGCATTAACAAATAAATGAAATGCATTCAAGATTTGAAACAAAACTAATATAGTTAATTATATGTTATAAATATTAAATAAGAGTTAATATGTGATTAATGAGTAGAATAAAACAATAATTATTATTGTCTAATTAATTGGAGATAATTATGCATGGATAATTGGTAAAAAATTAAATTTGGAATGTCATTAATGGGAATAGTTGACCAAATTTAAAATTGTTAGTTTAATTAAGGTTGGATATTAAATTGAGCAATTCTCACAAAATCGTTCTGGTTCAACGGTTTAGTGGTTGAAATAGGCAATTCAACTGGTTTAAAGTATAATGATACTAACTAGTTTTCGAAACTAATCTAAACCGGAAAGTAAGCGGATCGACAGTTCAACCTGTCTGAATCGTCAATCGACTGGTCCAGGTTGGTTTTTAAACATTGGTTGATGTTGGCAACTGTGCCCCCCACAGCTTTGGTAAAATCATAAAATAGTTTTTGAAAATTTGAGAAGTTTTTAAATTACATTATATTTGCTCTTCCCTAAATTTTGTGCATTTATCTTTTATTGTTGCCTTGCCTCCATAACTATTAAGATATCATAATGATTATCTTTTGTTAGACTCTTGGATCTACTTCAAATTATATAATGATTGATCCATTTGGATTGAAAGTAATTTGAAAAATTTTCTTTTATATAGCAATTTTTTTATGTGAAATAAATAAGATAAAAAAAATGTTGGAAAATGTGTGTTTAAGACAAATAATAAATACTTTTTTAAAATTTTTTTCTAAATTTTTTAATGTTCCTAACTCAAATAAGCGGAATGATCTTATTGCTAAATTAAAGTCACAAAATTAGATTCAATGATATGTGTAACAGATATATCCATCAAACGTGATAGTTCCACATTTAGGATCCTGGCTCCACCACTGAATACTACCCTTGTAATAATTGAAGAATTATGAGAATATAACGATGTTTGAGGGTGAGTCTATTTTACATGCTCGAGTGATTTCAAACACAAAATTTAGCTCCAGCAACTCTTGTCAATAAGTTGCTAAATGCAATATCTGATTCCAAACTTTTGTTTAACCAATAAATTAATTTGTACTCTGCAATATTATTTGACTTGTTTTCTTAGACCAGTCGATCAATAGGGTCAAGTCTCAACGGAGGGAGCAATAATACTCCTATTGTTTTTAGAAAGTGGCATTAAGGTCTTCATCGGCCTCTCCTACTTTTCCCTACTCTTTTTTGGTTCTTTTTACTTGTGTCGAACGTATGCAAATGCCTAGTTTTTGAAGTTTGAGTGTGAAATGAAAAAATTAACTCGCTTTAGGTGAATTGGTCACCGAGTAAAAGTAACGCAAGAGTTGACGATTGACATAAAAAAAATTTACGTTTTCTTGGGATAATAAAAAATGTTGAATTAGAAGTATTACTACTTGATGTTCCCTACTTTTCTGAGCACGATGACGAGAAGAAACATATCGATGAGTCCAAAATGTTTGACAAAATTACTCAAAAAAAAAAAACACACACACACACAAAGTAGTGCACGACAAATTGCCGGATTTAATTAGTGTTCAGAATTTTTTAATTTTCTGTGGCTTATGTACAATAACATTGAAAAGAGAATAAAAATGTCAAAAATGTTGATGATACAGAATTAACAAAGAGGAAGAAGATGTTGGAGAAGTAAAATATACAGGCGCTGAAGTATGACAGGTGCATTTTGGATTGTGCACAGCTCTTGTTCTGTGAACGTCAAGTTTGCTGCAGAATACACAATACTTGCGTCCAAACGCCTCGTGTTCTACCTCGAATTCAGAATCTTCTGTGTCGTCCAGGAACTCGTCCTCCGAATTCTCCACTGCCTCAACCATTCCTTGATCATACCTGGTGTAAGAGAACCTGTATCCTGGAAAAATCAGCAGCACAATTCTTTCTAAATGCTTATCGGACCAGTCCCTCCCTTCCTTGCAGACAAATAGGGTTGCAACGATAACTGCTGCTCCTACCCCAAACCCCAGACCGGTGAATATGAACTGCCAATCAACTCCGGTCTCGGCCACTGAATTTGCATCTACTGAGGAAGGCACCTGAGCATCATCGTTGTTGCCTTTGCAGCTGATGTTCAAAGGGGCGCCGCACAGCCCTTTGTTTCCCTCATAAGAAGTTTCTGTAAACGTTTCAAGCTGGTTGCCCCGGGGGATACTTCCAAGGAGTTGATTAATGGATAGGTTCAAGAATGACAGGAATGTCAAATTTGCAAGCTGTGGTGGTATCATTCCACTTAGCCGGTTCTTTGAGAGGTCTAGTGATTCAAGCTGTGTCAAGTTCCCAATTGATTTTGGGATTGTACCAGTGAGAGCATTATGCGATAAGTTGAGAAGATAAAGTGCATTGAGTTCTCCTATTGTTTCTGGGATGCTTCCTTCGAAACTATTCCTCGAGAAATCAATGGATGTGAAGACCTTTAGAATTTTCACGAACTCCAGCTCGAGCCCTTTGGATGTTACCATCAAAGTATCCTGATAGTATAGGTTACTAAGACTCAAGACAGGAAAATGCAGATGGTCTTGATCTGATTGCCCATTTTCTCCATGGCTAATCATTCCTTTCCAATTAGAGAAGCATTTTGGGGACAGAGCACCAGTGAAGTTGTTGAAAGCTATGTCAATGATTTGAAGGTTTTGCCAGCTGTCATTGGCCAGTGAACAGCTAAGGTATCCGTAGAACCTGTTGGATCGCAGAACTAGTACCCGCAAACTAGATAAGTTCTTTAACATGCAGGGGAAAGTATCTTCAACTTCATTGCCGCCAATATTGAGAACTTCCAACGATGTACAGTTGACCAGGGATCTTGGAATCCGTCTTGTTAGACGATTTTTACTAAGGTCTAAACTTTTGAGGACACAACTAATTGGAAATTTATCTGGAATGGTGCCACCGAGGTTGTTTCTCCCTAGATGCAGAACCCAGAGATTCTCCATGTTGTAGAACAGACAGTCTGGTATGCTGCCTCTGAAAGCATTGTTAGACAAATCAAGAACTTGGAGGTAACTTGCATTGCATATGGATTGAGGGATAACTCCGGAAAGGCTATTATTTGAAACAGAAAAGAAAACAGCAAAAGGAAGAGAGTTCCCAATATCTTGTGGGATGGAATTCCTGAACTTATTGCTTGAGTAGTCCACATATATAGCTGTTTTTGGTGGTTTTGGAAACTCACCTTGAAGTTGGTTAGAATGTAAGTCGAGCACAGACAGATTGCACATAGTGGCATTCATGGGGAGATCCACTAGGCGATTGCAGGAAAGGTTCAGATATTGAAGAGTTCCGTCACCAACTTCCCATATCCATCTAGGTATTTCTCCAGCAATTTGGTTGTCTGAAAGGTCTAGATGGATCATGTTGGACTGGTTTCTTAGCTCTGGAAACTTTTGCAACTTGCAAGAAGCT